ATTTTTGGGCAACTATTTTTTTTTTCTTTTTGGTTATATGATTGTTTGCCAACAGATTATCCAAATTGCAGGTTGTTGTGAGGGATTTTTGGGCAACTGGGTTCCAGTGAACCGAGCTGGGTTCGATGGAACCTATTTGCTGGGTTACATCGAACCTAGATTTGCTGGGTTTGATGCAACCTAGGCTGGGTTCCGTCGAACCCAACTCTACTTTTTTTTTTTTTTGTTATATGTTTGTTTGCCAAGAGATTATCTAAATTGTAGGTTGTTGTGAGTGATTTTTGGAATTTTTTTCTTCATATTTTTTAAGTATTGTCTAAATGATTTTAATCTTGAAAATGGAAAGAACATCATTGATGGAAAGAACAGAAACAGTAACCGATGGGCAAAGAAGCAATTCTTAGTGGTGATGTGGGACCCATTTGGACGGATTTGGCGCGTTTTGGCCACGGTAGCATGACATGGCAAAAGTTTTGTGCATATCATCATTTTTTTTAAATTTTGCTCTCCACATCATCAAAAAATATAAAAAATGCCACATATGCAGAGTTAACGGCTCAAATTAACCGAAGGACTAACGGAGTGTATTTCGTATAGTTGAGGGATAAAAAAAGTGCTAAATTTTGTTGAGGGACCAAAAATGTACATTTCATAAAGTTGAGGGACCAAATTTAGCATTTAACCTAAACATTTTGGCTTTGAAGAATTTCAGATAATTAATTTTGTGAAATGCAAGTGAGTTGAAAATGTCAAATGATTTTAATAATGATACACTTTTTTTTTTATAACAAAAGCAAATGAAATTATGCAAATGAAAAAAAAAAAAAGAAAAAGAAGGAAAAGGATTCACACAACAGGGAATGTATTTTTTTTGATGAATTTGAAGTTAGAATAGTAAGTTTCTATAAGATAATTTAAATTTTATGATACATTAAAATCTATTAATTATTTTATTGTTTTTTTACTAATATTGTGATTTTGATTTTTATGCCTTAATAGATTGAATCTACGAAAGGGAGAAAAACCATCTACTGCAGATATTTGATTATTGCAACATTCTAGAAAAACAAGAAATGAAACTTTTCTATGGACAGATCAAGAATCAAGATCAATTTCTACGTTTTTTTGTGGGAAAGCGGTGAAAGATGCAGAACATGTTTTTGTGCAGTGGTAATTTACTTATGAAGTGTGGATGAAGACCTTAGCTTGGTGGGACATTCGTACAGTAGTTGGCGGTAGTGTGAATCAGGCTTTTTGGCAACTTAGTCAAGGGTGGCAGTATGACAAAATGCAAGCTGTCTGGTCCTTTTTGTTCATCTCAGTCACGTCGCATCTTTGGGGCCTAAGAAATAAAATGATCTTTAAAAAGGTGGAGATGGATGTTGATAGATTAGTGGAGGTAATTAAAATTAAATCTTTTTTTGACAAAGGATAGAGCCGGTGGATGTGGGTTTTCATTGTATGGTTGGAGTATTTATTCGGAATTATGTTTTAGACCAATAGATATTGAAATTATAATAGTAAAATATAATGTAAATGGGTAGAAGTATCTTTTATATTTTAACATAACAAAATTTTTTTTGATGATAAAAAAAATCAAGATCAATTGAAGTAAGTTTTAAAATTATCATATATATGAAAAACATTTTAAAATGTTATAATATATATTTATATTTATATAGAAAATTTTTAATTTGTGTTATTAGTGTGCATTTATTAGGTTATACTCATCTACTAAAATA